TATGAAGCTTGAAGCTATGGAAGACTTTTATGTAAAGCAACTAAGCAAGACACTTGATGTATCCTAATTTTCCCGAAGTTTCAGATATAGGACAGGTGTGGGGTTGGGGCTATGGTGGCGAAGGGCAGCTTGGTTTGGGCTCCCGGATACGTATGGTGTCCTCTCCTCATCCCATACCTTGCATTGACTCTGCTTACGGAAAAGATAGAGCTGTAGTGCTTTCTCGAGGGGGCATGACTTCAGAGGGACAGAGTTTTAGAGTTCCTGGAAGTCATGTTAAGGGGATTGCTTGTGGAGGTCGACACAGTGCAGTAATCACAGGTACTATAGTATGGTGATGTTCTTTTTTGATTATTTTAATGCTTTCTTGAATCTGTTATTCAATATATATAAGCTCAAGTAACATAGTTCAGGAGCATTAGAGCCGTGTACTTGATATACTTGTATCAGTAAGTACAGCAACAAGATTTACGACCTAGACTGCAAACTGTCTATGGCATGGTTTGACTGGCATAGTTAATACATGCCTGTTTTCCCTTTATTTTCCCCCATTTTATTCTGTATTCAAAGACCTTCACATGACCAATTCATACTTTTGGTTTCAAATCTATTACAGATGCTGGAGCACTACTTACTTTTGGCTGGGGACTTTATGGACAGGTAATCTGGTCTAGTAAATTTTTGGCAGTCAATGAGTCTCTCCTGGGGTTTTCTATTTTCCTAAAGTAAATTTCTTGTGTTGTGTGTGAGCTTGTCCTTTCGGTTTCATTAGAGAATTGCACGTTTTCTTTCATCATATGTTGCTTAGCAATGCGTCTCAGTCAATATGATGGTTCCTAATCTGACTGTTTATTTGAATTTGGTTCTTGCATAGAATCATCACCAGTAAAAGATATTTGTAAAACTTTGAATTCTTAGTTGCTCGTCTTTCATTCGTGTATGTCTCGATTGGCTGAACTCCTCTGGATCTGTTTTAACCCCTCAACTATTAAATTTTGTGTCTGTTATTTGACTGTCAAACCTCATTTGAATGACTTACTTTCTAACATTTTAGCCACGAAAAAGTGCTTTGATGGTGAGAATTGGCCTATATTTGTTACTGCCGCAATTTTTTTAATTGCGTTGGACATGTCCCTTAAGAGAAACTGTAGAAAAAGTGTGTAAAGTTGCCATGATTATGCGAAAAGTGCCACCAAAGGAAAGAGAGGATGCACGTCCAATCTTTCTCAGTTAATTAAAAATAGTGTAGTTGATGGCAAAGCTGTACTGGATCTAAATTACTAGTTTTTTTCTCTCCAATCTTTAAGTATTAAATCCTATAGCGTTTCTGCACATTAAAAATCAATGTAGATGTTGAAATTGACTTCCACTCCACAAGGGATTATCTTTGCTGGGGAGTTACCTGGGCCTGCATGCCTGAGCGCTGACACACAAGGTTTAACAACACTTTAACCCAAAAGCCTAGACTAATTGGTTTCGGGTTCATCTTATATATAAGCACCTCAAACTTCTTATTCTTAACTGATGTGAGATTCCCATCCACATACTCTATTTCTTTTTTTAGCTCTTACATATTTGTGTTTTTCTTGTGATTAATTTTACTGCAGCTTGTTTTGGCTTGTCATGGTAAAAGGACTAAAGTCTATTGTTATTGTTTTTTCAAGTGTGGTCAAGGAAGCACTGATGATGAGTTAAGCCCAACTTGTGTATCTTCTTTGCTGGGCATTAGGATAGAGGCAGTTGCCGCAGGGTTGTGGCATACTGTTTGTGTTTCTGCTGATGGCGTTGTCTACTCATTTGGTGGGAATCAGTTTGGACAGTTGGGAACTGGTGGTGACCAGGCAGAGGTACATTACAAATATGACTGTATCGCTTAAGTTCTTTTTCCCTTGATTGCAGGATAGTAAATGGAAGGACTGGTATTTTGGTATGATAAAATGTGCATTATAAGATCTCAAAAATCCAAATGCATTTATCATCAACAGAACACGGAAAGAATGTAGTTTCAAAATAAAAAATCATTAATTACTCTTCATTGCCAATAGAACACTGGGAAAGGTGGCTAGACTTTCAAAGTTTCAGTTCGGGCTCAGAAAGATCTAAGCACTGCTACTGCTACCACTGCGCTATATCTGAATCATTATCACTGTTCACAACTAATTACCTCGATCAAAGCTGCTATGTTAACAAAATGTTTTGTTCTTGAAGAGTTACTCTTCTTTGCCAGTAGAACACTTGGAAAGGTGACTAGACTATTAGAGTTTCGAGATTTCATTTTGGGCATAGAAAGATCCATGCACTGCTACTGCTACTGCTACCACTGCGCTATATCTGAATCATCATCACTGTTCACTGGACTCCTTATATCTCAATCATATCTGCAATATTAACATATGTTCCGTTCTTGAAGAATTATCTGTGGTTAACTTCACAATCTATTGAATTTGTACATCAGACTCTCCCCAGACTCTTGGAAGCTCCAAGCTTGGAAAATATACATGCGAAAACAGTTTCTTGTGGGGCTCGCCACAGTGCTATAATCGCAGGTTTGTGGACTATTTTTAGTCCTCCATATCTCTTCGTTCGGTAACAATTATGTCATTCCATTAATTTCCACTGAATATCAGACAAACTACTTAATTTTGTGTGTGCATATTATTTGAGTTAATTTTCAATCTCAAATCATCTCCTTTGATCTTGTTGGCAACAAACTGAGTGTTGGTGTTTTGATTGGGTGAAACGAAGTCTGAAAGATTATCAAAATTATATAACCACCAATGTGAGTGCTACATGGATGAATAAAAGGACACCTCTGAAAGGTATAAAAATATAGCCAATTTGAATGAGGGTTTTTAGCCTCGAATTTATGCAAAGATGATATTACTTTGTTTTGTAAAACCTAACAAAATAACTAATCAAGAACCAGACCAGTTGAAAGATTGTCAGTGGTGAATGAGAAGGCGTAACTGTTGGCGTAGGTAAAAAATACTGTCATTTTGTGTTAATCAAGTTAAATTGGTGGAAAGGATAATTTCTAATGTCAAACGTAGCATATTTTAAAAACAAATTAATAATTACTTCACTATTCTGATGATTATTCCTATAACATGTTTTAACTTGCGAGCCATATGCATGCTCTTAGAATTATGTTTGGACATGTATTTCACGTAAACCATGAAGGGTGACTTTTTGCTTTTGTTTCTTGAAGACGATGGAAAAGTATTCTGCTGGGGATGGAACAAGTATGGCCAGGTACTCATGCTTAATCCCAATCAATCATCTTATTTGGCGAGCATCTGGAATGGCATTGGATTTTAATTTCATTACTGTGATTCGTATCAAGCTAAATAAGCCTCTGTTGTTGTTTACAATGTTTACCATGCACTATAATTGATAGGGAACTCAGGTTAACGTTATTATGTTCCAGTGTAGTGGTGTACATATAGCTGCAATGTTTGCAAATTTAAGAACATAATTGATTTTTTCGACATCTGGGTTTGTGAAACAGCTTGGCTTGGGTGATGTGATTGACCGCAACATTCCTTCTCAACTTACCATCGATGGCTGTGTCCCTAAAACTGTAGCATGTGGCTGGTGGCATACCCTTCTTCTAGCCGAGTCACCAACTTGAGTATCTGACTCTGACAAGCCTTTGAACAGTTTTGTTAGGTTAGAAGTCCTTTCAGAGAGCTGATATATCATTAAGATCCATCTATGCGTACTCGTATGCTCGTTCTTATTCTTTCGTGGATCAGGTTCACCGCAGCTAGTTCCATCTCTTAAAACTACTAGAATGACGTACTGCTTTTAAGGTGTAAAAAATGATCTAGCCAGGTCCCTTGTGTATATTTTATTTAGCAGAATTTGAACATTATACTGTACTCAATGCCATGAAAAGTCGGGTGTTGTTGTGTATGAAGCGTTGTGGAGTTTGTTCACTTATGCAAGCTTTCTATTGTGCTTCTGACCCATTCTACGTTTCATACCGCACTCAAGGAAAGCGAAAAAAACTCGAGTGCCTGAAAAACATCAATTCTTCCTTCGATGAATTGTCTATTGCACGAGCACTGGAGAGCTTGTATCTCTGCAGAGTTTCCAGTGCCATGTGTAGTTACATTTTTCTTTTCTTTTCAATTGGATACATGTGTTAGTTGTTTCCAATAATTACGGTCCTTTCTCTCTTCGATTTGGAAGTTATGCGCAACCAGCACATGAGATTAGTATCTCTAGAAATTATGGATTTCCTCTACAGTCCTATGTAGTTCATTGACAAATTTCATATGGAAAAATAGTTTACGATAATATTTGTTTCTACTTTTCATAAGGCAAGCAACCGAAATTGATCGAAGTCTCCCTCTCCAGTTTCTTCTGGACACGTTAGAAAATTGTCTAAGCATTTGGAGCTGCTACAGTTCTTTATTTCGGTGGGTTTGTCCTTAAATCAACTAGTCCGTTGCATTGTAATATATATATATATATATATATAACATGTCCATTGCAAGTTCAGATGGGGAACGGGTTCATAACCACCTTACTGTTACATCAATTTCTTCGAACCTAGAGACTGTTATACGACTACTCGTATCCTTAAAAATTAGATAGAGTGTCTCTGTGTGTGTGTGTTAGCTGGGTTTTCAGTTTCTTAATTAACGTAATTATAGGTATTTTCGAGATTGCATAACAATATTTGAGGCCAAATACAGAAATTCGGAAAAGCAAAGGTTCAGATAAAAAAAGGACCAGCCAACTTTAGCTGATAGATTGAGTCAATCCAATCAGGAATGCTAGCCCGGCTCAGTTACTTTTGACCAGTGTTCCTAGCCAGCCAAACCTTTTTCTCAAGGTCATGGATAGAAACAGAACCGTGCAATTGGCTAAACAAATCCTAATAGACAACATATCATTTGGTTTCTAGGATGCTTTCATAGTTGAGATTAAAGTGACAAGAGTTCAAACAATAATCGAATATTTTCTCAAAAAACTGCATTTGTGTCTAGGAAAAACTCATTTGCTCTTCAGCTCTTTGTTCAAGAATTTACCCTTCCGCGCTTTATAAAGCAGTTCGAGGAGCAAAAATAACAGCAAAGAAAACATCGAAATCCAGTCATGAACATTAAACAACTCTATCTGATAATAAAATCCCAAGGTTGAAGAACAACAAGCATTCTTCAGGAAGACACATTAGGAAGCATAGAACCATGCCTACCAGAAGAAATGCATAGCGATTCTGAACAATCTAGTTTGATCTGGGTGTTGCCCATTCCACTCGAAGAATTAGATTGTCATAACCATATCCGTTGAGCTTGTTTATTGCCCTCTCAGCATCTTCCTTGCTTACAAAGTTGACAAAACCAAAGCCCCTGCTGACACCGGTCTTCTGATCAATAGCAACATAGACACGACTCACTGGACCAAATGTACGGAATAGTTCAAGCAAATCAGGCTCCCTGGTGTCCTCTGACAAATTAGTAACCCGAACTGAATTTTCTTCATTTCTGCGCCTCATATCTGATCCAACAGTTCTCTCTGCACCTGCCCTCATGCTTGGTGGGACATAAGCACCCTTGGTTGCTCCGGTGGCAGCCATAGCTGTCTCTGTTGCAGCGGGTTTGTCAATAAAGGTTTCAGGTGGTTGAGCAAGATCCTTGTATGGGCATCGTGATGTCCAATGATCACCTTTCTTACCACAAGTTCTGCAAACCATGAGAACAGCCCCTCCTTTACCTAGCTGAGCCAAGTTATCTCCAGCTATCTTGGTTTCATCTGCTTTGGCACCTGTTGGCATGTCAATGCATTATTAAATGAAAAAAACAACCAACCCTTAGATTCTTGAAAGAAAGTAGTAATCCACAAAAATACTGTTAGATATAGTCTAGAAGGAGCTAAAAACCAGATGTGAGAATTTTCCAATTTGCCGCTTTAGAAATTTCTAGCTTTCTTCGTATTGTATTTTTTGGTACCCATTCAACATTTACAACTTCAAATGCATGCATATTTTCATCATTTCTTCAATTTTTATATAAGGGATCGATACATTTCTCATCATTGACAAAGTTTCTTCAGCTCTCACAGTCACCAAATTCCTATTGATGATGAATTTGACCCGTTGATGTAATGAAGATGCGACAGCTCGGGCTGCATGGATCCAAAGTCTCCCTAGTAAAATGTTGTATGATGGATGAATATCCATTACTTGTAATATGACTTGGAATGGTTGTGGGCTAATAATCAGTTCAACATTAATACTCCTAATGATTGGTGTAGGTGACTTATCGTATGCCCTAGCAGTCTTGGCACTTGGCTTCATGTGAGAGGCATCAACTGACATTTTATCAAGTTCATACCTTGGCAATACATTTAGAGCAGAGTTATTATCCATAAGCACTTTAGCAATAACACAATCCTTGCATTTTATCGTGATATGCAGTGGTTTATTATGACCGGTCCCTTCATGATCTAGCTCATTATCAGTAAAATAGAGGTAGTTGGTGGCTTGAATCCTACCCATCAAATGTTCTATAGAGCCTTGTGTGATATCCCAAGGAACATATGCTTCATTAAGAACCTTTTGAAGTGAGTTCCGATGCAATTCTGAACTCAATATTAATGATAATAAAGAAATCCTAGCGGATGCCTTTTTTAGTTGATCAAGCACACTATATTCATTATGTCTTATCAGTTTCAAAAATTCATTAGCCTCTTCATCACTTACTGGCTTATTGACCTTATTTTTCTTTGCTAGTTCCACCATATTTTTTCCTTTAGCCTTTCTATGATCATCCAACTCTTCAGGAGTAAAACATCTCCCACTTCGAGTGAGTCCTTCTATTTCTGAGTGGAAAACAAGGGCAGGACTCGTGATATGAGAGGAATAACCATAGTTATAGGGTTGGACATTATAACTTCCATTAACAGTATTTATAGGCCTGGTTAGGATCATTTTTGGCGGACCCTCTTCAGTTGGTAAATATCTACAAACTTTTGTTTTCTTATTACAACTACTCATTGTTCCTACTAACTTTTCTTTTTCGAGTTTCATTAATCTTAATGTTCCTAATGTCATCATATCTTCTACCTTAGAATGAAACTCCTCACAAAAGTGAATATCATGCCCAAACTGCTGATGATATTTACAATATTCATTCGCATCTCTTACAATTTGTATTCTAACTAGTGTCTTCAGATAATTAGTTTGCCTCAACATTCCATACAATCTATCCATAATCACCCTTATCATTGTTTTACTTCCCCTTTTTATCTCCCAGCTATTAACTCCTCCATTACTAGAGGCATGGTTTAGCAGAGGGTTTGAGTTCATATTTGAAGATTCATCAAAAGAAATCCACCCGACTTTAATGAGTTGGAGGATTTTTCTTTTGAATGTAGCACATCCATCAATATTGTGACTAATAGCACCAGTATGATATTCATATTTTTGAACGGGTTTATACCAAATAGGGAATGGTGGTTGTAAGGGAGCTAAATGAACAAGTGCTACTTGACCAATACTAAGCAACCTATGGTACATTTCAGGGAGAGACATGGATAACGATGAAAGTTGCGCTTGGTCAATTGAAAAATTTCTTCTTGGGTGGTAGGCATTATTAGTTTGGTTGTTTGCTGAGTTATTCTGGGTATTTGTAAGTGAGGTGAATTTTATGTTGGATATGGAAGAGGTAGGTGTAATAGTTTTGAAACTATAATTATCTTAGTAGGTTTTCTTTCCTCTACCTCCCTTTTTAGCATTATGAATTTCTGCTTCTTTTCTCCTTCTAACAAAACCTTTTTTTTAGTTGGATCCACGATCTTAACTATTCGAACAGCTTGTTTGATCCTTTTAGTTATGATAACCAAATCAGAGAAATTCTGTGCAATATTACCTATCAAGTATTCAAAGTATGGAGCTTTCAAAATGTTGGAAAATAAACCAATCATCTCCCTTTCCAACAATAGAGGATTTACTTGTGTAGCTGATTCACACCACCTTTGGGCATATTCTCTTATAGACTCTTTAATGCCTTTTTCTATGGCTTGCAAACTTGATTTATCTGGCGGCAACGTCCATGCTAAACTTATATTGTCTAATAAAAGCATCAACTAAGTCCTTTCATCATTTGATCTTGTTATTATCCAAACGCATATACCATGCAAGAACAGCATCACTTAAACTATCTTGAAAGAAATGGATCAACAACTTCTCATCATGTACTACCTCAACCATGTTATTACAATATGCTTTAAGATGGGTGATCAGGTATTGAGTTCTAGTATATTTAACAAATTTTAGCACTCTAAACTTTAAAGAAATAACCACATTAGACACTAAACATATTTCAGTGGTCTTTATCGGATCATACAAATTATTCCCTTCTATTGCCTTTATTCTTTCCTCTAAAGCAACTAGTTTTTCATGACTATCATCCTCTACCATCCTATTCCTTTGAAGTTCTTCCTCTGTCAAGACATCATGGGGGACCCTCATTGAATATGCTGATTGGGCAAGTAAGAAATGAGCATTATGTTCAGTTTCAAATGGGGGAACAAAAGGAGTTGTAGGCATTGGTGGAAGCTGCGTAGCAGATGTTTGGTGAGAAGATTTTCTTTCTCCAGATCTAGACCTCAAAGTCTTTTTAAGCAGGTTAGTAAGTCTTGCTACATTTTCCTTCAAGCTTCTAACTCTTTTTGGTATTGAATTTCTAACTGAGTTCTCTTTTAGTTTTCTTTTTTTTTTGTAAATGAGTGTTATGGATACGTTTCAGTTGGGGACCTATATTTAACCTGTTATATGCAAAATATGATAATTTATAAGCAAATGTATGAGATGCATGAATATGAATACAATATATTGAATATGGATTCGCTCGTTAGTGACATATGGCTGTCATTCTTTTGATATGTGGTTTGAACTTGAACTTGATATCATTGTTATGATACCAAGAAGAGATCTGCTTAACTTTTTGACATTTAGGCTTTCAGCCATATACATATATTTTTTTGCATTGAAAATGTGGGTCTCAACCCTTTATTAATTAATCTAATCTACTAAAGGAGAAAAAGCACTATCTCTGTTAGCTATTGCTTTTAAGAAAAGATCGGTGTTATCCAAGCTTCTTCGATACTTTATTATATCACCTCCCATTTGTCGAGCTTCCACTCGTAATAAATGGGCTTCTACAGCCGCTCGATCAATTTGATCTTGTAGTTCCCTTATCCTCTAAGTATGAATCAAGTTGTTTCTAAACAAAAAGGTATTGGTATAATCCAATGTTTGATTATGTTGTTTTTATCATTTTTAAGCTTTTCATAAGTGGTACAGTCTTCAATTTTTCTTTGTCCAGTTTAGATCTCAGTGCTTCTACTTCAACCTTATGATCATTCAACTCTACTCTTCACTCTTCATGAATTTTAGTCACAACCTCAGCTTTTCCTAATTGGTTTTTAAGCTTAACCATGTCCACCTGACATATTTTTAATATAGCTTGTGTCTTGATAGCTAATTCTTCCCAATGCTTAGCTTTTGCCATATAAGATGTCATATCCTGATTAATTGTCTTTTGTGTTTCCAAGTCCTTTTTTGCCTTTATCCAATCTTGACCTATAGAATCCCTTTCTTCTTCAACTACTTTTCTTATAGTCTTTTTTTTGGCTAACTGCTGCTATAAAGACACTCTATATTCTTTGTTTGCTTTAAGCTCAACTTGTAACAATTTTTTTTGTTCTCTTAATTCTTTTTTATAGTTCACTCTTTTCCTTTGAATGCCTACAGATTCAGAAACTTTCGCTATGAAAGTGACTCCTTCATTACACCATTCGAGATATCTTTCACTAATTACAGGATTCCTTACGCCAGTCTCTTTTCTCACTGGTACCAAAAATTTCCAATCTTGTTTAACGCTCTCTAGCATCTCAATGGTATCTCCTTTGTATACTCCAGCAAATTGAGCTAAACCAGCTGTTTGTGGAATGCTTTGTATGCCCCCATGCTATCTTGCAACCAAAGCCGGTACATAACCTATTAGATATGTTGTATTTTTCATCTAAGGACCTTTCCAACTAAAATTGCTTTGTCAAATTCTTTACAATTTTACCCTCCAATCATCTTAAAAAAAGTTTTCCCATTTATTTCATACAAGTAACTGGAGTGGCTTTTGATCGAGCTATCAAAAAATTTGAAATATTGGTGTCTCATATTCTATATAGCTTACCAACCAAATGAATAGCAATGGAACACAACATCTCATAGAACCTTTTCCAGTCTTTTTGCAATGATTGAGAGAAAAAAAAGTTTCAACTAAGATCATGATAAAAGGATTAATTTTGGTCTTCTCATACTTAACAAACAAATTGGTTGCCTCTAAGCTTATAATTCCAGTAGTTGATGGACATTAAAGTAGCTTAAACATTTCCAAAGCCAATATTCTGTATACCTCCAACTGAGCACCTGAATTAGATTTTTTTAGCAATCAACAACTCTTCTAATCGTTTCCATCTCAAACCACCAAAAATTTTTTTCTCTCTATATAAGCTCATTTGATAGATTCCTAATAGCTCAGCAAGCTCCTCTATAGTATTCTCAATCTTTTGATGAAAGCCCACTTTATGGTTATCCTCAGGAAATTCTATCAAAACACCATATTGTTCAATGGTAAGAACCATATCGACATCCCCAAATCTAAAACATCGATAATCAGGATCCCAAAAATGAATTAGGGCTTTTATGGCTAATGACAACACTGGAATATTCAGAAGATGTAAAATTCTCCTATATATCTTAATAAATTCTGTCTCGTCGGCCAAGTATTTGGTGAATGAAAGCAAACGACTGGCATTATTTATTACACATCTCATATCT